CCAGCAATCAGTGATTTCAGCTCTACTGATCCACAACAAAAATACTCTCACTTGAGTCTTAATCAGCTCTGTCATTAAACAGTGCAGAGGGGGAAGGGTCACATGGTATCTAGGAGTCTTAGGCAGGGACCACCCACCAGGTAGAAACACCTGTCATCGTCCCCCTCTGTGTCTCTCCACTGGGCTTTGGTGCCCCTACCCCCTGCTTAGTGAGTGCAGTTCAGCTGAGGGTGAAGGAAGCACAGTTCTGCTGCCCTAGAGACTTTGCAATCCCTTTACTAACATTTTGCTCAGACTGTAAACAGGCATTCATTGTGAAGTACTCAGTTTACCGCTAGACAGACTTGATGGACATTCCTGGCCTGAAAGAAACCTGTTTCTCACCTTTTGGTGACCAGCCCCAAGAACATAATTTTCAATATATATACAGACCTCCTTACATATTATTCAGACATACACTGCACAATGATTGAGGACCAGCTTTCAGTAAAGACTTTATGAGACACTCTTTCAAACTAAGATGTAGAAAGCAGACGTAGGAAATCCCTGTAACTCTTACACACCAGTTTTTTTCTCCTGTTGATAATAGCTCATCTTAATTAATTAGCCTCTTCCACCTTCTCTGTATGTATATATACCTTAATTAATTAGCCTCTTCCACCTTCTCTGTATGTGTATATATCTTCTTACTATATGTTCCACTCTATGCATCCAATGAAGTGGGCTGTAGCCCACGAAAGCTTATGCTCAAATAAATTTGTTAGTCTCTAAAGTGCCACAAGTCCTCCTGTTCTTTTTGCAGATACAGACTAACACGGCTGCTACTCTGAAACCTTACACACCCCTGTGCCTTCTGCCAGTTGGCAACACTTAGAACTGAACCAAGAGACCTCTAGCTACAGACACACAGTACACTACAGATTGAGTTAAAGAGCCACGTTTTTTAGCTATCACCTGTAATAGATTCACATCCTTTATGGATCAAACACAGTGCAAGATACATACACCCATTTCTATAGCTGATCCACTGAGAATTGAGAACCGCTGCTATGATTTGGCCTGTCTTAAAAACTGAATCTGTGCTCTCTCTGCTAATCAGTTCAGTTCTTTAGCTTATGTTTTAGACGGTGGTTCAGTGTAAACGGGTCCCAGTTCCTAGCTGTCAACTAGTGGTATGGGACACTACACACTTCTGGAGGCTGAATGGCACACTACATTTTAGAAACACTAGATAGATGCACCCGATGAAGTGATCTGTAGCTCACGAAAGCTTATGCTCGAATAAATTTGTTAGTCTCTAAAGTGCCACAAGTACTCCTTTTTCTTTTTGCAGATACAGACTAACATACTGCTACTCTGAAACCTAGATAAATATAGGTTACTCACTGCAGCAATGCACATTAATCTGATTCCACCACTGACCACTGCCAAGGCCTGCAATATTTCCTTATTTGTTCATTTGGTATTACATTTCCTGTTATATTATAACGGTTAATAAAACTTAATGCCTAGGAATCATTCTAGCTAAAGGAATGGTGGCATGATTCCATGTCTATACTCTAATGGTCTTTTTACACACCCCCACACCCCTGCCTTCCCTTTCAAAGGTCTGTTTTGTATAAAGAAGCCAAAAGAAAGGTTAGATGGCTAAGCACAGAAAGACAGGAAAGTGTGCTTGGTAGCAAGTCTTTTACATGGTTACTTGGAAACCATTAAAATATTTAAAATGTCTACAAAAGCAATAAAATGATCACAGGAGTATGTGGTGATATTTAATTTTCTCACAAGTTAAATATCACTGATAATTAACTGTTAGAAGTTTATTTTGAAATGACATTTCACTGGAATACCAGACCTTTACAACATAATTAAAGGTTTCTCATTGTAACGGTGCCCTATTCCTGGAATGAACGTTTTTAAAAAATCATTTGTGAAACAGACAGATAATTTTTAAAACTCCTCCCCCCCCATTTAATTTTGGTCATTTCTTGTTTTGCCTGCTTCTTTTTTAAACAGCGACCACAGCAGTGTCAGATAATTTGGTTCCCTGTGTAAGATGCTAAAACGACTGGCTTATGTTAAAAAAAAAAAGTGTTTTGATATTTTAATTGGACTAGGTGGATCTGTGTTTGGTTCCCAGTTCAGCAAAGCATTCCTTATCAGGAAGAACACATAAGCAAATTTTTAACTTCCATAAAAGCCAGTAGGACTTACCTTGTGCCTCAGTTTCCCTAACTGTAAAATGGAGATCAGAATACTTAGTTCCTTAGTAAAGTGCTTTGAGATCTACTGATAAAAAGCTCTATATAAGAGCTAAGAATTATTAATTTACTATGTACATGCTTAAAGTTAAGCACTGTGCATGACTATATGACATAGGCACTGCCATACTGGATTGGACGAGTATTTTATTTCAGTTCCCTGTCTCTGACAATGGATCGCACTAGCCAGTTCAGAGGAAGGTGCAAGAAAACTCACAGCAGGTATTTATGGAATAACCTGCCCACGGAGAAAGCTTCTTCCTGACCCCCATAGTTGGAAGTCTGCTTATGCCCTGACGCATGAGGGTCTCTATCCATATCAATACAGCTTTTTAAAGAAATCATTGCCACTGTAACTCTGTCTTCATCTTCTTCAGATATAGCACTTGATAATAGAAGTGAGATGTTTGAGCTGGTAGTTTGAGCACTGGCTCTGAGGTTTTAAAAACTCCTGAGTTCTAATCCCAGTATTGACATGCCTTCCTCTATGAGCTGAGCTCCAAAAATTCCAGGCCACCCTTTAAATTTGGGTGCCTGAGGATAATACTTTCAATCTTGCATATTTCTAATTGGGCATCTAAATCCCTCTTTAGGCACCTAAGCAGCTAGTTTTTCCAGAAGCTGCAAGTGCTTAACACACATGAAAATTAGGCCATTTGTTTAGGTAGCTAAATATACATAAAAGTGCCTTTATTTTGGGCATCCAAAACTTGAAGATTTTAGCCTACGCGTTCAGAGTTGGAGACTCAAAAAATGGAGGCACTGACAATTAAGAGGACACTCAAGAACAGTTCATCATCATGGAAAACCCCTACCTAGGTCCTTAAAATAGTCTTGGATGTTATCGGTCGGATGTTCAATCTATGTTTGTCATTGATGATCTTGTCATGCCAGCAAAGCTTTTGGCAACTGCCTGATTGCTGATGGTGGAGTGGCATTTTTTGATAAACACACTTCTTAATTCATTGGTCTTTCATCCTAATAATATTTGGCCCATAACATTTCTGACTTGCTTTCCCCGATGTGTAAAATGGCAATACTAATATTTGCCCATCTCACCGAGCTGTTGTTAGGATTAAGGAGATGTTATGTATCACTTAGAACATTAAATATGCTATGCTAGTGCAAGTATACTCTTTTTTACAAACTGTCTGATGTCCTGGTTAATTTTTTTGGAACAATTTCCTTCCTTCCTGATACATGAGATTAGCTCATTCTTCCAGGCAATTGTCTGAGCCAGACCATGACCCAGAGTACGCTGAAATTCTTTTGGCTTTCTCAAGGATGTTGAACTTCCACTGATGTGCTGAGAAACAAGTTTATTATTTTTTTAAAGGGAACTTATTGCGACTGATCTGAGCCACAATGACACCCCTGGAAACCAAAGTCTCTTTGTCCCAAGAGCAGGTAGAATGCAGGGAGCAGCAGTGCAAACTTGCCTCGGATATCCTACCAATGTTCTTCAACATTGACCTGAAAGAAACACATCATGGGAGCAGAAAGGAATTCAGTCTCTGCATGTGGTCTCTGTGGTGTCAACGGTGACCTCACAGGCGTAAGATGTGGTGATCTTTGTTATATGATGCAGAGATCAAGTAGCATGGTACGTACGCATGGATGGATACTGAATTCATTTCACTAAGGTCATTGAGCAGCCATTAATGAGAACAGATTTCAGGCTACACCAACCGTAATAGTGGAGACTGATTCCAGTGGCTACTAATTCCTTCTCACGTGGCAGAGGCATACCTGTAAGATGTCATCATTTTGACAAACATCACTCATGTTAGTCCCAAAGCTATGTGTGTTCCACCCAAGTTTGTTGTCCCTCACTTTAATTGCTGAACATTATTTACACCAGAGAATGAGATGAATGAAACACAGATTATAGAAGTTTACTGAAACAAGGAAGCTCACCGAATTTCAAGTTTCCTGCCTGACTCTTTTTAATTTTTAATCTTATTTTTTGTGCACCTTATTTTGGGTCTTTGTCAAACATTTGGACATAGGCAGGTTGTGAGGGATGGAGAGAGGTGTTATCCTTCCATACCCCTGTCCCTTATCAGGTAACCGGGGCCAGGAAATTAAAAAAACAAACTGTAGAAGGGTTCAGCCAGAGCTCGTCCCTCTCCAGGGTGGCGGGGAACCACACCGCCTCACGACGTCCGTCTGGTTACAGCCGGGGAACTAGTCTGGCCGCAGGGTCTCACGCCACGGCAGCGGTAGAGGCAAAACAACAGTTACTCAGGCCTGGTTGGCGGGCAATAGCGAGTCCCATGCTCCGGTCCTTGGACAGGGACGGGGCAAACCATTAAGCAATAAGCCCAGGCCCTGTGTTAGGGTGGACAGCAAAGAGTCCGTGGCTCAGGCCCTCAGTCAGGGGCTGAAAAAACAAATAAGCAACCAGCCCAGGCCCTGGGTCAGGGCGGGGCAGTGCAGCATTTGGGATTCAGGCCCTCAGGCAGGGGCTGAGCAAACAGGTAAGTTCAACAAGCCCTGGTCCTGGCACCGAAGGGCCTGGGAGAGGGGGAGACGGCCACCCACATGTTGGGAGGCAGGGGAGGCGCAGGCCCACCCACTCCACCGCGTCCCAGCCTGGGGCCCTAGCAGCAGCAGAAGGCCTGCTGCTTGTCAGTGGGGATCCTGGCCGCAACCCACTGACATCGGCTCTGGGTGTGCTGCAGCCAGACTAGGGGCGGCTGCCCCCGGGCTACTTCCTACCTCCCCCTCCAGAGGTACCTGCGTCGTGACGGTGTCCTCCAAAGAATCAAGCACCACGGGCTCCTCAGGGTACTCAGCGAGCGCTAGGCTTGGCAGCTCCTCTGGGTAACTTGCTTAATAGCTTCTCAGGGTCTGGTCGGCATCAGGCCTCGGCTGGTCTGGCCATTCCTCGGCTTGGTCGCCAATTGCAGGAGTCTCCCAACCGGGAACTAGGCCACAGGTGTCTGGCTTCACTGGCAGATAGGTCTCTAGTGAGCTCTGGGGTTGGGCTTTTGTACTTCCTGTCCTGCACCTTGACCTCCGGGGGGCGGGCGCAGGCTCCACTGGCTCCGTGCACTTTGGCATCCGGAGGGGCTCGTCCCTCTCTGGGGCGGCGGGGAACCACACTGCCTCGCTACGCAAATGTTCTCCATTGAGTGCTCCTGTGTGTTGCACCTTTGTCATGTGGCATCAGAAACAAATTCAATCTGCTGGCAAAAATGAAGCAAATGAAGCCACATGAATCACTGTTTTTGGAAGGGGACTGGTAGAGGTAGCTACAGCACTTCCAAATTCTCCTGGAAACAAGTGGGATTAGGAGAGGGACAAAAACCCTTTATGTCAACAGCTAACATGCTTCTTGAGCCAAAGAAAATTACCCTTTGCCCTTACAAAAAGAGCTATCTTCCAAGAAACCAGAACATGGCATTCTTGTCATACTCAGTCATGCCCATTGTATGGGGGATGGAATGTTCTATTCCAAACAGAAAGCAGCTGGAAAGCTTCCAGGATCTGCACCAAGGCCCTATGTCAGAATCGCCCACAAGAGTCAGTCCCACAGGAGGAATAGCAGCCATCTGTACAAAACCAAAGGAGGACACCGGGGCTCTGTTTCTTAAGCACACTCAGGATGCTGCTTACTGATAGTTACTGCTGTGCTGATAGAAGTAACTCATACCTACCCAGGCACTGACTGTGATACACATTAGCAGCAACAGACTCCAAGTGGGTATGTCTACTTCAATCGGCCACTGTGAAAGGAGGTATGTATGTGCATGTCCTCACCTGTAGGGTGCTCTCTCATACAGTACCTGGATGCGGTGCTGCAGGGGAATTTGCCTCTCATGCTCCCTTTCCTGGTGGCCAAATCCTTGGCCAAAATGGCCAGTCCCAGCCAGTGGCTTCTCCTGACTCCCTCTTCGGGTTTTATGTGGCTCAGCCCCCTGGTCAAGTCACGTAACAGTTCACTCCCCATCCTGGGGTTACAAAAGTCCAACTTAAAGTCCAAATCAAAATGTGCAAACTAATAGTCCTTTTGCCTCTCACAGGCTCCACTGAAGTACTCTGTTTTCTTGGCCCACTTCTCCTGGCTCCTACAGAGTGCCTTTTAACTTGCTTCTTCCCCAGCAGAATTTCCCTACTACCTCCTTTCTCCATGGACTCCAGCAGTTCACCTTTGAGCACGACATTTCTCCTTTTAGGCCCAATGAGAGCCTCCCCACTGACAAAAGCATACTCTTCTCCCTGTAGATCTGTTTCTCCTGTTGCTGGTCTAACTCAGGGCTCTCCCACAAGAAGCCTATGCTGCTTCCTGTGGGTTACTCAGCCTGACTACCTCAGGGTCTTCCCAGAGGCAAAATCCCTGCCTTCCTCCCTCTACAGAGTTCCCAGCTCTCCCTGCTCTACCACCACAACTGAGATAAGTCTTTCTCTTTAAGCCCCATTACACCCAACTGGGATCACTAATTGGCCCCTATGTTACCAGTTCATAAGCGAGGCAGAGGGATAGCTGCTAATTCCTTGGCAAGGCTGAGCCCAGCTTGCCTCAAAAAGCCAGCCAGCCCGTTATGAGGTTTTTTAACATCAAGACGAGGTTGTTTGATTGGAAAGTCATAGAAGTTTAGGGATGGTAATAATCTCTAATGTTTATAATATCTGATTCACTTTTTCATCAGTAGATCTCAACGCAATTTACAAAGGAGGTCAGTTTCTTTATCACCATTTTATGGATGGCGAAACTCAGGCAGAATAAGATCCAGGGCTAGATGGCGGTCAGACTAGAAAGCAGGAGTGTATTTTTAACAGTGAGGGTGACTAACCACTGGAACAACTTATGTAATGAGGTCGTGGATTCGCCATCATTTGAAGTCTTTAAATGAAGGCTGGCTATCTTTATAAACAATATGCTTGTTGTTTATAAACAGAAGTAATGGGCTTGATGTGGAAATTACTGGCTGAGGTTCTGTGGCCTACGCTATCCCTGAGGTCAGACTAGATGATCCCAGTTGGTCCCGGCTGGTTATAAAAGTCTATGAGCAAAAGGCAGAATAATCGTCTCCTTTGTTAGGGAGTTCAGGATGTCTTCCCAAAGCTCCACCCTAGATATCTACGTGAGTGTATTTAAGTGGCTGTTTTAGTGGTTGTTTCATATGGCTTTATTTCATTTGCATTTGATTTCACCCTCCCTGACAAGTGAAAGGGGGAGGAGGATGAAAGGAAGACATTACAGTTACCACAGAGTGGAAGATACTCACTTGAGCATGTTTGTACAGATCCTAGCACCATGGTAATGAGCTCTTCTGCGGGCGGCAGGCTGACAGAGTTTCTTTTGAGTGATTATTTTAATGCTGCTGCAGTTCTGTTGTGGTACAGTAGAACCCGTGAGTTACAAACACCTCAGGAATGGAAGTTGTTCATGACTCTGAAATGTTCGTAACTCTGAACAAAACGTTAGGGTTGTTCTTTCAAAAGTTTCAACTGAAGATTGACTTAATACAGCTTTGAAACTTTACTAGGCAGAAGGAAAATGCTGCTTTTAACCATCTTAATTTAAATGAAACAAGAACAGAAACAGTTTCCTTACCTTGTCAAAAAAAATTGAAACGTTCCCTTTATTTTTTTTTAATAGTTAACACAGCATTGTACTGTATTTGCTTTTTTTTTTTTTTTTGGTCTCTGCTGCTGCCTGATTGCGTACTTCTGGTTCCAAATGAGGTTTGTGGTGTTCATAACTCTGGTGTTCCTAACTGAGGTTCTCCTGAATTGATTGTGATAGGGCAGCTAGAGCCTTGTACAGGCATCTTCTTACTACTTAATCAGAATAAATAATTGGAGTCCCAATATCTGATTGCAACCCATAGGCAGCTGTAAAATTTAAATAATAAATGATCACTTCCATATGATAATGCTCTTGCCCCTTGCTACCTTCTTACATTACTCAGCTGTTTGTATGTCAATTAGACCTTGTGGGACAACTTTTTGAAATTGCCTACTCGTAAAACCACCCTCCCCCGCCCCAATCTGTGCAAGCCAGTTATGCATGCAGGGCCATCTGTGTACACAACCTCCCATTCCCACCAGTAGATGAGTATTCACAACTCAAAGCAAGATTCAAAACAAAATTAATTGTTCTTTTTTAAAAAAAATCTTATTTGTTAAATGAAACAGTGGTGTATAAAAAAATCACTTCTTTAAACTTCAGCATTTCATCACCAGTATCAAAATCTAGTCAATTAAATCACAACAGTCATTTAAATAGCATTAAAGCCCCAATTCAGCAAAGGTACTTAAGCATGTGCCGAACTTCAAGCACATGAGTAGCTTATGTGCTTAAGTACCTTTGCTGAAATGAGGCTTAAGAGCTGAGAGACTTGCTCACATTTTTTTAGATGAGTGCCCCAGAACTTTGGTATACAACTGTGATTCCTCTGTATCCCCTTGAGATGCTAGACAAATGGACACAATAGACAGCAGTAGTTTGTTCACTGACCTAAGGGCATGCTGGGAAACAGGGCCTCTGAAAAGGTCATACAGATATCAAGGTGCCAGACAGTTAAGCTTTGTATGTGAATAACAATCCCTGAAAATCAATATGATAGTTGTCTAGGGACAAGGATAGCCAAGCCTGCATAGAGGCAATACGGTGACTTGCTTTCAAGCAACTCAACCACCATGCATGAGAATTTACCACAAAATAAAGCCTTTGGTTAAACAAACCAGCAAAGGAGCTTGTAGTAACTAGGACACAGTCAGCAGTAGATAGACACTTGCACAAATTGTCTGTGTTTCAAGAGAGAGAACCTATATAGGGGAATTGGGAAAAACGTATGTTGGAAACACTCTGGAGGAGACAAAGAGCCAGTTTGGATTTTAAATCATTATGATAACCATGCAACAGCACTACTTGGAACTTGCCAATATCTAATTACCATGATGTCAGTCATTTAAGTGCTGAGTTGCTAGCCATAAACCTTCATCTTTTCAACGATTTAACCCCCACCCACACAAACGAATGGAACAAAAGCAGCAAAAACACCCCCAGACAATCAAGAAGCAGAGTCCAGGAGAGCATTATATATGGGGGAGGGGGGGGGGGATAAGAGGGTTATCAAAGCAAGGACCAGCAAAACTGCTGAATGATTAGGGGCATAATACAGAATTATATTCAGGGACCAATTCTAGGTAATGGATTGAATGGGAAAAATGGAAACGATATCAAAACACCATTTAAAGAGAAAAAAGAAAAGGAGGACTTGTGGCACCTTAGAGTCTAACAAATTTATTTGAGCATAAGCTTTCGTGAGCTATGCTCAAATAAATTGGTTAGTCTCTAAGGTGCCACAAGTACTCCTTTTCTTTTTGTGAATACAGACTAACATGGCTGCTACTCTGAAACCTGGCATTTAAAGAGAAGCAGTGCAGCCCAGTGGTTAGGGTACTAGAGTGGGAGTCAGGTTCTTAGCTCTGCCGCTTCTCTGCGAAATATCTGTTTCTCTCTTTCTGCTCCTACCCTAGGTTGGGGCCTCTAGAAGCTCCTGTGATAGCTCTAATGTATTTATGTTCTATCTTTCTATATGGACGTATATTTCTGATTAGAAGCTAGAGAAAAGGTTATGAAGTCTGAAAATAAAATGCCTGTTTTGGTTTCAGTGATGGTATATAGCGATCTGTACATACCTTGCTAGATATGGCAAGTATAAATATGGATATGGACAGCATAAATATAATGGGAGCACTTAAAAAAAAGTTCATTCCAGTTTTAGGAACAGTCATAGTTTCAGCAATATTTCCTGTACTTAAAGTGGGGAATACTTTTAGAATTGGTGATGCCTTCAGAACTGTGAAGACTTGGCCACTGTATTAGTCTGAAATCTTATACAGCCCCCGCCTCCACAGTATCTGGGAGCTTCACAGTATGTAATGTAATTAATCTTACAGCACCCCTCTGAGGCAAGGCAATGCTACTATCCCCATTTTACCGGTGGGGAACTGAGGCACAGAGAGGCTAAATGACTTGCCCAAGGTCACACAGGAAGTCCTGAGAGAGCAGGGAACTGAAGTTGCTTCCAAGCTAGTACCCTATCCAATGAACCATCCTTCCTTTCCCAGAGAAGATTTATTTTTATTATAAATTAGTAATAATCATTTCTATAGTCCTAGGGCTGTTTGACCTGTACTGACCCCTGTTAAGTCAATCAAGGATCACTGGAGAGTTAGGGAGCTCTGACCACACTCTCAACATGTCCCTGAAAGCAGGTGGCGGAGGGCCAGCTATGCTGATTGGGAAA